TGTATATATATATACAACCTAAAAAAATTTTTTTTCCATTTCACATCTACGTGTGAAATTTTATAAGGCTAACAACCTACAACAAGCATCAAATGAGTTCAAATGTCGTAACTAGAAGAGATAAATGTTGGCTTTACTTATTTATTTATTTTTCTGTGTTTTAAGAAAATATGTTTAAGAACTTATTTGAAATAGTAATAATGTACATACGTATATAATATATAATGATTGAAACGTGACTATTTTACAAAATACTAGTCCACTGAAACACAGTTAAGACAGGTCACTATGTAAAGACTAAAGGTCAGTTTTATATTATTGGATATAGTAACATGAGTGCACATGCAACATGTCATTGTAACTTCTGTATTGTTAGCCAGGAATGACTGAAAGGTTAATATCATATAAATAATGAATATATATAAATGTATAATGTTATGAGATTTAAGTTATTTAGTCTAAACATGTATGTTTTCATGTTATAATTTATAGTCATTCTAGAACGAAAAAGGCATAATTTATGTTTACATCCTAATTTTTGTGGTGGTTATGAGATCAGTGTAATCGACTGAACCTTACGGAGATTCACTAATAAAAAATAACAGATGTGAAATTATAAAATTTTCTGATGTATAAATGTATTTTTAATTATAAAATGAAAATTACTTCATATGTTAGACAGGCAACATGTGAAAAGAAAAACAAAGGCCTGAGAAAACATTGCTTAACAAACCTTAATACTTATTAATAAAAATCTGATATTTTGCATATGAAAGCCTTGGGATGGTTACTGATAATCTGCCAATTTTTGTGAACATATGCTAACTAATTTAAAAGTTATAGCATGAAAACTATAACAAGCACAAAACAGTTACAAAGTTGGTCCAGGGACTAAGCTCGTGCTGAAAGAGTTAAGGTCACAGGGCATTTTAGATCAACACGATACTTTTTTTTTTAATCTTAAAGCTGATGTACTGTTACTTCATAAGTTTCATTGGTTAAAGTTAATACTTACCTACCTGATAAACATAATCTGGAAGGATAGGCCAGCTTCCCAAGACCCCACTGAAAAAATTAATGCCACATTTACTAAACTAATGGAGAAACTGATTTCTATTCCATTAACATTAATGTGTACTGTGCCCTTAGTACCCTTCAGTGAATTTGTTTTTGCCTTGGTGCCCTTCAAAATGAGATAAAATCTAAGTCCAAATGGCATTGCCCTAAAAATGAATTTCCTGGCCTGAACCTGATGTACAATTCCAAATGCTGTATGGTTTTGGACTGGATTTTTCCATTGCAAGTAGTTCTCCCCTCCTTCCTACTGCTGCCTGGATGTTGGTTGGAGCTGAACCGGCCAACATAAGTCCTCACATGTGAGTGAGCTGGGACCCTCCTCCTACCACAGACTGGACAATACATTGTCAGTGCTGCATGGTTTTGGACTGGAGTTGACCCTCAACCTTGCATTCTACCTTCCTACCATTGTCTAGATGTCGGTTCCCAGGGAGACAAGTCTTGGTTGTGTTTGATATGCACACATGATAGCTTTAATTCTCAAAATGGAAGTGCTCCTACCCTTCTGGTTTTTGAGTCTGAGGTGAAGATGGTAGAAGACTCTCCTTTTACTGTAGCTTGGAGAATCCATTCCCTGTTCCACTGGCTTCAAACTGGAGTTAACATCCCATTTATGGTCTGACATATGTTAGCCACTCTACACCATGAGCACATCCAGCTATAGTTGGTCGAGGACCCTCCTCCTACTGTGGACCTCGTGACCTATTCCTGAATACCCTGTTTTGGTACTGGAGTTTACCTCCCATTTACAGTCTGGACAAAGATGGTTGAGGACCCTCTTCCTACCATGAACAGAATGATCCATTCCCAATTCCACTTGTTTTGGACTGAAGTTGACCTCCTGACTAGGTTCTGACATACCCTATCCACTTCATGCCTGGGGCAAATATGGCTAATTTTTGTATGTGCCTCTTTGTTGCCCAGTTAGTTACACATTCATTCATCGAGGGCAAATAATATGTGGTTCAGATGTGGTGTGGTCTTCCATGAGTGTATTCCTCTAACAAGAAAAATCATACTGAATGAGCATTTTTCAGACAATTTCCAAAGGATGCTCATCTAGGTATATGTAAGTTTTGCACCACTCCCTCCACCAGATCACTGTGGGATTCTAGCTATTATGTAAGAAGAGTTAAGATATTATGTCAAAAATTAATATTTTCCTACACTGAAAATGTATTTCTGATAGATACCTCCATTCACGTATCCCACCCTTTCTCCATACTTCTGGTGCTTCTTTTCTGTCTAATCTCAAAATGAAGATTGGGTAATACAGTATAGAGGAAGCCAGCTGTGACAGGAGAGTGTGGCACTCCTATTGGTGGAGGGTTGTCACATGCTTATTTCAATGCTACAACACAGCTGAAACATGTAGAAACATGGGGTATGTAGGAGTTTCAAGTTAAAATATTTGTGCACATAGAGGGCAGCACTGAATGAGAAAAGTTATGTGAGAAGAGGTAAGTATCTTTTGGAAATACATTTTTAGTGTAGGAAACTATTAACTTTCCTCTTTTCGTGTTTAATTAAAATAGGTATTTATTCTTTTACAGTCAGAATATAAAAAGAAAAAAAATTCTGAAATGAAACATCAACAAAAACAGATTCGGCTGACTAAAAAGTTGCAAGCGTTACAAGAAAAACAAGCGGCTGAAACTAATACTAAAATTATTCAACAACTGCCAATTGCATCTCTTCCATCAGAACTTACAATATGTCCAGTGACATCTGCAGCCCAGATTAAGAAAAGAAAAGTAAGTATGAGTTTTAAGAATATTAAGCCCGGCATGGCCAGGTGGATAAGGCGCTCGACTCACAATCTGAGGGTCGCGGGTTCGAATCCGCATCCCACCAAACATGCTCGCCCTTTCAGCCGTGGGGGCGTTATAATGTGACGGTCAATCCCACTATTCGTTGGTAAAAGAGTAACTCAAGAGTTGGCGGTGGGTGGTGATGACTAGCTGCCTTCCCTCTAGTCTTACACTGCTAAATTAGGGACGGCTAGCGCAGATAGCCCTCGTGTAGCTTTGCGCGAAGTTCCAAAACAAACAAACAAAACAAACAAGAATATTAATGTATTATTTTACATTGGAAATGTCTCATTTCTTGGATTAGAGTTAAATGTTGTTATTATTTATTCATTTGCTTAATAAATAAAACAGTAGTTTGAGCTTGAAAACTGATTGAATGGTTGCATGTGCATGTTTTCACTGCTTGTAACTTTCAAAACTTTTCAAAGCAATATTACTTAATATGTATATAATAATTATGTTTTTATTATTTTATTTGGTAATATTTAAAACAGAAATGTAGAAAAAAACAATTACTGACAATAGTTCCATTATCAAAAGTGTCAGGAGAATGATTTTATGGTGAACATAAAAGAGAGGGCACTTACTTTTCATGACACTAAGACACCTGGAAATAATCACATTGTTTCCCAATAGAAAAATGTTTATTGGATTTGCATTAAAAGTGAATAAGATTGTCTTTTATGAAATAAGAAAGAAATGCGTCAGAAAGATTTTCATAACAAGGCAACTGTACTAATATGCCACTTTATTATTACCTCTACCAAAAACAGATTGGATCACACTTTACTGCTAACCTAGCCCTTATTAAGTGTACCATATACTGTACAATATACTGAAATGTTTTTTCTTCATTTGTAGCTCATTTGTCAAGAAATATGATTTGCAACTTGATTGAGATCCAGTAATTGAGCTGCCCAAGGAAGATAATTGAAGTCACTTTTCTTATTAAATCAATTTCAGACAACAAAAGCACAGTAGATTGTTGCATTATTATCTTGGAAGAACCCTTGTCCATCACTATGCTAATGGACTATGTAAGGTGGATACAACCAGCAACAATGTTAAACTACACCTTACATGTTATTTGCTTTTCTAAATGAATTAAAGGACCAAACCCTGCCATAAACAGCTCACATTTTTGAAACAAAACAAGCAGAATAACTTTGTACATAATTTTCTCTACCATAGCACAGAAAAGGATGAAACGTGAAACACCAGACCACATTATACACCTTTGCAGTCAATACTTTCCCACAGTTCACTGTATACACCACTGAAACTTTGTTTTTTTGTGTGCATCTGAGGTAAATGATTTTCTAATTGGTGTTAGATCTAGATAGTTAAATCCTAACCATTCTTGAAGAAATTGGTCAGTTGGATGTATTCTGACATACAAACCTATTTAATGATATTTTCCCTTGCTCAGTCATTAACCATTAGTAACCATAGGTTTCCTAGTATTATATTCTTTCTTTTTCAATTGCTACTATTCATTGACTTTGCTGAGCAATGCCTTTGAAGAGCTGGTAAAAAAAAAAACACTTTTATAATGACACCTATGCTACAGGGGGACCCACACCATACCCATTTGAAAACTATAAAAATTATTTTCTTACCCGTTGTTGTGTAGATTAACCTTTTCCAGCCAGAGAGCTTTTTTTATTCTGGCCATTTGCATTCATATAAATTAATAACTTGTAAGTGTTTCTGTATCTAAAATACACACTTCAAATGTATATGATGATCATTGAATGTTGTTAAAAGAAAATATTTTTATCTGTCATCTAAAAAATTATTGCATGTGTTGCTAAAAAGTACGTGGCACATCACTACTGAAGTGTTCCAGTATGAGTGCTTACTATATTTTTTGGGAACTAAGCTTCACAGTATCAGAACTAAAACATATTGTTTTAATTGTCAGTGTTTCTTTTTTTTCTGTGATATATATATATATATATATTCAGAAAAAGTGTAGCAATTTCTTTAAATTGTTTTTGGGTTCTTATTATTTTGAAAGTCAAATTTCTGACTTCATATAAATGCACAGAGTACAGAAAAATATCAAATACAATAACTGTGATTTGTTAAATTCAGTTCTCTGTTTCCTCTCTTTCAGACACCTGAGTCTACCACCAACAGTACCTTTACAATTGTAACAACAAATGACAGGATAAACCTTCAAACACTGGGATATTCTTCTCAGATTTTAGGATCACCTGACAAAAGTAGTCATACAATGGCATTAAATATGAAGAAAGTAATGTCTTATATGCTTCCTGAAACTTCTCCTACTAGGGGTAGGGGTAGGGGAAGACCAAGAGGTCGAGGTAGAGGTCGAGGAAGAGGACGACCTCCTCTAGATACATGTAATTCCTTATCAAAAGGAGATAAGAGTAGAAAAAACCAAACAAAGAGTAACTTGCTAAATGAAAGTCTATCCAGTAAGTCCATCACTTTTTTTATGATATGTAGAAAATAGTAAAGAAATTATTTTGTACCCCTTTTATTTGCTGTGTTTTTCCTTCATTTTTTTTTTTAGGTATTTGATGTATTGATAAGCAAAATACAAAGAATCAAGATAAGTTTTTTTAAGATATCATGTTTTGCCCAACTTACTGCTCTGAAGTTTTGGAAAATCAAGTTTTTGGGAAGAAGAAATTTTCTTAAGAGTAAATTAAAAAACATATATATATATATATATATGGAGAGAGAGAGCTTATTACAATTGTTCTGAAAAGAATGCTACTCCTTAAATGTATATTGATACCTCACTATACTATATTTTTTGTGTCTGCCTAAGAGATTGCATTCCTCTATCCTTTAGCTAACTCTCACCCAAATTTACATGTTTAATGTGAACTGTGCTGCTGCATGACATCATCATGCAATAATTGCACTACACTAATAGGAAGATGATACAACTTCCATGCACAGTAATTCCCTTTAGCATTTGCACTCAAGACTACTTCTTTTTTTCCTTGGCACCGTCTCGAGATAATTTGTCTTACACCTTTCATTCAATCACATGAGATTTATGGTAGTTTATTCACATAGATTGTGGATTGCCATGGTTGACATTTCAGACACCTTTTGTTCTTTCAGTCTTAGAGACATGTTTTTTTGTTTCATCCATAGGGCTTGGGTCTTCCAGTTCCATACTCTTCCTTTTGTCTTTACATCTGCTCCTTCCTTCTTTCCTTGACTCATGGGGGCATTTGCCCACCTTGATCTTACTTTGGGACTGGACTTCCTATTTTACATAGATAATTGGTTTATTCTTGTTCGTTCTTGGGAGAACTCTTCTCATACCTGCATTCTTTGCATGGGGGGGTTCAGCTGGGCTGGTTTGTCGCACCGTCCAAGTCTTTTCTCACATTCACCCTACATTTGGAACATATGGCCCTCAACACTTTGCTTATGAACTTACTTTTACTTTACATCTGCTCCCCCCCCACTCTTATTTTGTCCCATTTTGGCTCTCTTACTCCTAATGCATCTTTCTCTCTTCCAGGGATGTGGTCCCTTCATTTTGATGTGTTAAGTTTGGTCAGGTTCATTACCTGGACTTTCCATTTATATGTCTTTTTTCTGATCTCCTTCCTGCCATCCTTTATCAGTTGTGTCAGGTTTTTTGACATTGGTCTGTCTGCCTCTCCCTTCCTCTGGGCCATCCTACTTTGGCTCACCTTTCAGCCTTTTTTCACTTGGTTTTTTGACTGTAGGTTGCCAGTTTTCCACTGTTGCTTGGTTTTGAGCAGCTTTATCTTCTACATTTTGCATGTCCAGTTGCTATCTGGTTTTCTTTTTCTGTCCTCTCCCCTTTATTCTGAACCTTCCTTCTTCACCAACCTTCTCATCATACTCCCATGCCTGACAGGGACCTTGTTGTGTTTTTTATCCTTTTTGGGCTCCTTTTGAACCATTGACTTCATGTTTATTGTTCCATCTTTTTTCTCCTACTCACCTATTGTCATTCTTGTTAAGAAGTCTATACCTTCAATGCTTCCTGCATTTTCTTTCACCATACTTCTTTCCTCTATCCTGACCAGACTTTTCTTCCTAACACTTGGGCTGTTTGGGTGATCATCCTTTCACATCTTGTTACATTATGATCGTAAGCTGTCTCATTTTCTTGCATCTTATTCTCACCAGCCCTTGTACAAGACCCTTCAGGCTGGCATGTGGATGAATCTGAACACATCTGTCTCCTTTTGTCTTCATCATCTGGCTGTTTTGACACACTCCAGTCGCAGTTCTTTACTACACTTACATATCATCTTGCGCTCAACCCATCTGCCCTGGCTCTACCAGCACCCACTGCAAACCATACCATTTCCCTGGACTAGCTGCTGGGATGGTAGATCTTGCAGAATCCTCACAGATTGGGCTTAGCACAATACAGTGAGAAGTAGAGCAGTAGTGACCTGTTAGTGTAGTATGGGATCCTTTCACACAAGTAATGTAACCTCCTCCTGCAGCCAGAGCCTGTTCAGTAGAGTCGTGATTGTGCCCTAACCTCACTACACTTATTGGCTTACCAACTGCTTGTGTGTAGGTGCTCAGTTGGCCACGTTTGAATTACGCCCATCCCTGTGACAATTGGGGCTTGTTTGCTTCTCCCCCTCTCATCTTGAGTGAAGAGTATACCCTGATCTAGATGAGAAGTGGTCTCTCACAGGTACCCCTATGGAGCCCCTACCATCAGGTGTCACATTCCATGAATTTTTCCTTGAGCACTTTCTGAAGAGTGCTCATCTAGATTTAAAATTTGTACTGACTCCTCCACCATTTCAGTGTGATATTCTAGCGATTCTGTATGTGGAGGTGAGGTATCATAATACTGAAAATGTATTTCTGATAGATACTTCTAGAAACATTCCCACCCAATTTCCCCACTTGTGGTGCACTTTTTTTTTTCTCTTGCCTTGTATAAAAATGACATTATCTTGAGTGCAAGTGCTATTGGTGGAGGGATATTTTTGCAAGATGAAGTCCTCATGTACCACCACAGTTCACATTAAACACGTTAATGTAGATGGGAGTTAGCTCAAGGTTAGAGGCATGTAAATCTCTGGTAGAAGTACGAGGAGTATAGTAATTCTGTGTTTGAACATGAGTATTTATCAGAAATATATTTTTGGTATAGGAAAATATTAACATTCTTAAAAGTGTATAATTTTCTAGCTTGAAACTATTATTGCTTTTAATTTTCATGCTGTTTTTTGTTGTTGTTTTTTTGGCTCTCTGCTTTCTAGAGCATCATTTGTCAAGTATTGTATGAAGAAATTGTTTTGATGTGCAAAATGAAGCCAAAAACATTGTATCAATACTTTAGTGACATTGGAATGTGTGTGATTTTGTGTATACCTTATTGTCTGATTCAGAACCTACAAGTGATACCAAGTCATCTTCAGATTTTGAAGCTTCAGACAGTGGTGACAACATTGATGATGAAGATGATGATAAATCTGCCACTGCAAGCACTGCAAGTAGTGGAGTTACATCTACATCGGGTCAAGCAACCAAACGACATAGCCAAGGAGGTGAAGGTAAATTGTTAGATGACAAAAGAGTGTTGATATAAACTTTCATCATTTAAATTTTAAGTTATGTATACATATTTTTTGATATTTAAATAAAATAAAAAAATGAGTTATAAGATTAGTTCTATATAGGTGGCTTTACAGCAGTATTAGGCATCCTTGAAAGTCACTATGTATGCTTGTTTAGGCAGTTTCTTACTTAATCAGTTATTTTATTCAGTAACTAATCAAATTATTTGGTATAATAAATACATATTGTGAAGTAGCATACAACTTGATGGGATAATTAGATATGTTGCCGCTTTAAAAAGGACAAAAACAAAGAAATATCTCTATTTCATTAGTTGGCATGCAACTTGATACATCTGATGCTTGAATTTAATAGCATGATGCTCTTTTCTTGTACAGCCAACATTCTTCTGTTTAATATTTCAGATGTTTTTACAGAAGACACTTCAGAGGAGCTTTTTAATTTAAAGTGTTCAAATTGTTAAAGTTAATTAATGTATTCCAGTTCAATAATATTTTACTTCAACCCTCTGCAACATAATCGTTGTCTCACTGTTACAGAATTATGTTCATTTAGATGACATGATCAGCTGCTGAACTTCTCTAAGATATTTTTACCACCTGGATGAAACTGAATTAAAATTGTATATTTCTATGGAAGAGTTACAGGTTATAGAATCAATAATTATGTATTTTATATATATATACATATCCATAGATAGTTAGATGGATTGAGTGTTATAAGACTAAATTAAATAACATTAGTTAGATAAAAGATAAAACAAAATCATAAACAGGTGAACTGTGGTAGTTAGTAAGTTTTAAGTTGAATATTTCATTCCTCAGGAAAGCAATCAGTTATTTTTTGAGACTTAAAATTTTTTTTAACAGCATGCTTGGTGAGATAATTATGTTTTTGAATACCAAAGTATTGTAAACCAAAAGGTTTAAGTATAATAGATTTATAGAAAATTTCAAATTTGAACAGATTAGAAGGAATGTGAAAATGATAATATCTGCAATCTAACGTGATTTTTATCAGAAACATTTTGCCTATTGATTAGATAAAGTTTAATTCCTTCTACCAAGGATTGGGCATGACCTAGTGGTCAGTGTGCCCAGACTATGAATCTGAGGGCTCATGGTTCACAATAAAAGAGTGGTGAATAAATCTTACCATTTGACCAAACAAAAACTAGCCCAGGGTTAGCAGTAGGTGCTTTTGACAAGCTGCCTTCTCTCTTACTTATCAGTACAAAATTAGGGACAGCTGTACACAGGTAACCCTTGTGTAGCTTTGTGTGAAATTGTGAAACAAAAAACGTTATACCAAAGGGTTCATTTAATTTTTCTTTATTAGGATCTTCACCAAAAAAGAAAAGAATTTTACCAGATGAAAAGGAAATTAGGATTCCATTAGAACATGGGTATGCTTTATTTGAAAGTTCCTTAACAATTTTCTGCCTACAAACGTGTAATAGACCTGAAAGTGCTAAAATTCTATGACAGTGCTCGTACTCTCTGATATTGGTTGTAAAATCTTGTTTGTTCACAAACTGGCCAGAAAGATGAACTTGAGTGTTATCTTTGATAATTTGCAAGTTTTCTGAACATGCTAAAATTTACTTGATTTTGTAATGTAAAACAATATGTGTATATGAAGTTTGAAGATGGCTCGAATGAGTAACAAAGAAAACTTTATTACAGATTTAACAAAATAACTAATGTACAATGTTTTCACAATGTTCTTTAATCATCAATGGCTTCCTCATCATCAAATATACATATATTGTACATTTAAACAATGGTATTTTATAAGTTTTTGTTTTCATTTAGCATTCACCGGTGATTCATGAAATACAACTTAATGGTGTATTTAAAGCACAAAACTGTTTCACGTTGAAACTTACAAACAATTCTAATACTAACTGATTTAGTAACAGTCAGATATGTGTACAACTTTAATTACAAAAATATTTCAACCATTATTAACATCACAAGTTAGCATCATATTTTGTATTACAAAAACTATTAGAAAATAATTTTACAGGCCACATATATGTGCTACTTTTAAAAGAATTATCAAATAGTATCATATCATAGATATAAAAAATAAACCACAACTTAAATGAGTGTAAAAATCACATTGTGTTAGTTCAGTGAACCAATTAAAGCTACTTTTATAACTTATTATTTCTATCAATTTGTGAAAAAAAGGTTATTTTTATTGTTGTTGTTTTTTTTTCAAATGAGATATTTAGTTAATAATTATTTTTGATTGAATCAGGGTTAATTGTTTATTGCCAAGTGGTCCAATACTTAAAAAAAAAAGCTTTGTTGTTATTTTTGTTGTCAGCTGGCGTCGTCAGACCAAGATCCGGTGCTTTAGTCGCTCAGGTGTGAGAGGTGAGGTTGTGTACTATGCTCCATGTGGGAAAAAACTAAAGAACTACCCTGAAGTGGTTCGGGTACGTGTCATAATAAGATATCTTTAAGAGCTAAATAATTCACAAATGTATTGTGTAGATTTTGTTGACTATTTGATTTTGAGCATTATTATAAACTGTGTATACGCAATCAGTATGAAGGTTTGTTAACTATATTCAACCCACCTTAGAACTATGCTGCCATTCTATATTCATGTTACAAAATGTATTGGTGGTAGATTAACAACGTAAATATGATTTTATTAATCTTTCAATATAAAAATCTGTTTGATTCATCAGCAGAAGCTCATGCTTATTCAATAAAATCTAATTTATGCTGCTCAGAAACTATGCAGGTTTCAAAGGTATGTTTAGTAATCACAAAATAGGAAAATGATAACCCAAGCACTTCATAAAGTAGATCTTTCTTCTTTTTATATTTAAGCCAAGCTTTCCTTCAACATTATTTGAGGTTCAATTTCCAGATTATACTCAACTTAGTTTCAGACCTTTTTTTTTTTTTCCTTTTCTATGTTAGTGACATATTGTATAAAATTCTGAACAGTGGTTAATTTTTTTATAAGTAAGCCTAGAAATGGGTTGTGTTTATTGTTTTTAAACTTTTATATTTATACCTGATTTTGATATTTTCTATTTCCACAATGATTTTATGTAACTAAGATCTGAAAATAATTAAACTTTTTACAGTTGTTTTATCAATATTGCTAATTCAGCTAAATCACTCGAGTAGGATGTCTTGATAACCTTCAGTGAATATTGTTCACTAACTTTTTAAATTTGCAATGTTTTTTAATTTCTGATAATATTTCAAAAATACTTGCTGACTTTTCAATAAGACATCATTTCAACATCCTTATTAAAATAATTTGTATTCTGATTTTTCATATTTTATTAAAATACTTAAATCCTTCAAACGAAAAGGATGATTCTAATGTTAGTCTCACATATGCCCAATCTTCTCACCCTTATCTTATCCTTACTACTCTTCTACAGTATCTATCTTCTATCGATCTCCTCTTGGAAGTTCTCCACAGAAATCCCGAGGGATTTTATGCCAATACCCTTCACTTTCTCTCTTCCACTTTGGACCGTATTTCTTACTCTGCTCTGTCATTACACACTTGGTTTCTTTGTTGTTGGGATCTTATTGGTAGGGAGTCCATTCTGGCTCTTGTTAATTTACCTTCCACTTATCTCAGGGATTTTTGTCTTGCTACTTTTCTTTGACATTATGTCTTTAACACTGTCCCTGAAAATATTGAGCTGTAGGTAACATCCACCCGACAACAGTCCACCCTTTCAACTTTTGTGGCCCATTTATCTCAACCAGAGCCTTCCATGCCACTTATTCCCATTCTTTACTTGTTCCTTCACATCTGGTTACTTCTTTTTGTTGAGGTCATTGCCGACATATTGTCCATTGTCAACATTACTGGTGACTACTTGGTGGGTTTGGAGCCTGTTGGAGCTCATTTGTTCGATTTCTTCCTCACTGGCTCCACTTTGTCGAGGATCAATGGGTGATAAAGGTTCTTTCAGGGGGGACTCATTCTCATGTTTCTTTCCCCATCTTCTTATTCTCCTAACCCCATTTCCTTTCCTCTTCCTCAAGATCCCGTGCCTCACCAGCATCTGTCAGAGGCAGTTCAGGATTTGCTTTTGCAGTGGGCTATCGAACCAGTTCACCATCCCTTGGAGGGGTTTTACTCCCATATTTTTGTGGTCCCCAGGAAAATGGGGATTGGTGACCTGTCATCAATTGGTCATGCCTCAACTGCTTCATCACACACCCCCAAGTTCACTATGGAGTCCTTTCTCACCTTGAGATGGGCATTTTCCCCGGGATTGTGTATGACAAAAATAGATGTTTTCAATGCCTATCTCCACATCCCAATAGCCCTTCAATCCTGTCTTTATCTTCAGTTTGTTCATCTCAAGGAGGTTTACCAATTTTGGACTCTCCCCTTCGGAGTTGCTTTGGTCCCATGCATGTTTTGTCATGTTGTTCAGACATTTACTCATCATATTCATACTTTGGTGTTGAGGTTTCATCATTACATGGATGACTGACTACTTCTAGCTCATTCCGAGCAGGAGTCAACCAATCACACTCACCAACTCCTTTTTATGTCAGCTCGAGTGAGCTGGTTCATAAAATTAGAGAAGATGGTTCTTTGACCCACCCAATACTCAGTGCATTTGGGGGTTTTCTTCGACGTCAAGCTCTCCCTTCTCCTTTACGCCTCAGTTCTATGGGACTTTTAGTTGATCATTGCCCTTTCAGCTCAGTCACTTACTGCTCGAGAGGTTCTATTGCTTTGGGGATGTGGTCTTCCATGAATGTATTGATCCCCATCAGTCTTGTCCATATGAAATCCCTGCAGTGGACCCTTCACAAACAATGGAACCTTGCACGGGATCTTCTTTCTGCCACTATTTCCCTTCCTCCTTTCCTAAGAGTCAATCTGCTGTGGTGGCTCAACACAGCCCATGCATTGGTTGGTGTGCCACTTCTTCCACTGTGTCTGAATGTCCATCTGTTCATGGATCCTTCCCTTCAGGGATGGGGGGGGGGGGTCGAATTACCACGAAGCTTCAGGATATTGGTCTGCAGATGAATTAATCTTGCATATCAATGTTTTCGAACTTCTGGCAGTTTGTTGGGTGTTATCTCACTTCCTTTCTCATCCATCGCTGTCTGGTGATAGTTCATTCCAACAACTCTATGGTGGTGGCTCATATCAACCACCAAGGGAGCACCTGGTCCAGAGATCTTTGTTTCTAGACCTTGGATCTTCTATACTGGGCCCAGACACATCACATTCATTTTCTCGAATGTCGTGTGGCGGGTGCTTTCAATCTTGTAGTGGATCATTTTTCATGTCCAGACCAACTCTATCCCATGGAGTGGTCATTAAATCTGATTGTTTTCAGAGACCTTTGCATTCTATGGAGTTCTCCCCAATTGGATGTATTTGCCATGGGCCTCCATACAAAGTTGTCCCTCTTTTGGTCACCTGTCCTGCATCCACAGGCTGTATCTGTCAATGCCTTCAGCTAGGATTGGACTAACAAATACCTTCATGTGTACCCCCCCATCCGTTCGCTTCATCAGGTGATTTCACTAGAATACTCTACTCCTTGTCAGGTCCTCATGATTGCATCCTATTGACCAGCACAACCCTGGTTTCCGAGGCTCCAATTTCTGTTCCTCTTCCACTGTTTCCCTCCCTTCTGCATCAACCTCACTCCCATGTTCTTCATCCCAATCACTCTGTCTTCATGCCTGGCTTTTGTCCAGTCTTTGGCAAAGAGATCCAGTTTCACGTGTTGAGTTGCTTCCCTGTTAGCTACTTCCATTCGTCCATCTTCCATGGAAGTTTCCCAGTGTAAGTGGAAGGTTTTCTGCTGTTGGTCTGCTGGGAGGTGATTTTCTGACGTCAAGCCTTTGGCAGCTCGGTTGGTGGAATTTCTCATCTGGCTCTTCGACCATGTGTCTTTGGTCTCTTCGATTTCTGGATATAGAGCAGCCCTTTCCCATACCTTCTGTTTCTACAGATACTGTAGGGTTTTTACTTTCCCTGTCCTCACTATGCACATGTGTTCCTTCTGGATTGGGACACTAATGTGGTCCTCCATGCCCTGTCTCTCCCTCCATTTGAACCATTTTCTTCATGTTCCTTGTTTCATGTCCCTTAAAACCTATTTCATTCTAATATTGGCCTGCGGACGTTGCTGATCTAATCGTTCCTTTCTCCTCAAGACCACGGCAGCTCGAGTAGGTTGTTCCTCCTTTTCTCCTATTTCCCTACCTTATATCTCCCATCTTTACCCTCGCTTGGACCCCAATAGACTGCTGTGTCCCGTCAGAGCTCTACGGTCTTTTCATTCCCTGGCAATCCTCCTCCCTTCGGGATCTTTCCCCTTTTGCTCTTACGAATTGAATCTGCCTTCTGGTCCATTTGGCCTACTCCTCTTTCCTCTCCTGCCTTGTTCCATGTGTCCTCACATCAGATTCGTCATCTCACATTTTTCCTTGCTTCCTGTCTGTTAGAGAAGATTCTCCAAGCTGACATGTGGGCCACACTTTGTGTTCCATTATTTTCATCACATCGTGCTTTATTCTGCATCAGGGTTCTGTTTTCCGCCTCTCATCCTCGCGTTCTCTCATCCATGGCTCGGCACAGTCACCATAGAGATGGGGCATTCCACAAGATCGCTGGAAGGTTACTTCACGATAGTTGCTTCATAAATATGCCCTTTCTGGACCATATCATCCATGGATGGCATGGGTAAAGCAGAACAGGATAACTGCCCATCCATTCCATGCCTTGAGTGAATAACTCAGTATGATCTGCTTTTCAAAATGGGGTATCATGGTCACCTATTGCTCTGTCTCCAGTGATGATGTCCCTCCGGATTCTCCAACGCATTCTCACCCCTTCTTCGAGTGGAGTATGAGGGCCCTTGCCATTTTCTAGTTCCAAGCCACTGGGGTGGTTGACCGTGGAGGAACCCTCCTGAATGGGTTCCAATAACAAGTTGGCTATAACCATTCAGTCGAGAGTAAAGCAGTGGTGTAGATGTGACGAGACCTCCACAGGAGTTGATCTGTTTCCTTGCTGGTGAACACGTGGCCTTCTTATACTGTTTATGCTATCACAGGAGTTGATCCATCACCTTCCTGGATGATGTGGCCTCCTTAAACTATTTACATATTCAACAATATCTATTACCACTGGAATTCATCCCTCACTTTACAAGCTGACGTGGACTTCTTATACAATTTACACTACTGTGGAGTTGATCCATCACCATAATGGTTGACATGGCCTCCTGTTACATATTCCATACCTCATGAAGTTGATCCATCGCACATGCAGCTCACCCCTTTTGATTGGGAGCCCTCATCCTATCTTCACATGGACATCAGTTCCCAGCATTGAGGTGTTGGATTCAAGTGAATTAACAAGTACCCAGGAATTGGAGCAGATCTTCATCCTACCTTCTCATGGATGTTGGTATCCCATAGAGAAGGTTTTGGATGTAATTGACTTGCCAAGTACAGTCCGACACACCCTAGCCACTCTACACCTCGCGATTTCTGCCCATGTGTTTTATGAATTATACACAAGGACAAAGAGTTCACCTGGCTCAGAAGTGGTGTAGTTCCCCTCCTCTGATCTCCATATCTCTTTCTCTTATGGTCAGGGGTATCCTTCGAGTGCTTTTGGGGGATGCTTCTGTTAATCCTTCACACCGGTCCCTCCTTCTTCTCAATGTGGGATTCTAGCTAATCTTGTGAGAGAAGGTAAGTACTGTATCGGAAGTTATAATTTTCTTATACTGAAAATGTATTTCTGATAGGTACTTATCTCTACTCACACTTCCCACCATTCCTTCCCACTTTTCCAATACTTACACCTTCAGCCAAACTTAGAAGTGAAGTTTTGGTAAAGGAGTGTAGAGGGAGTCACATGCATCATGTGAGCATACTATGCTACTGTTGGTTAATAGATGATACATGATGATTTGCATGAGAGACACATAGGAATGTGCTAATTGCAACAAGGGGGAAGGGCAAGGCTTGTGGTATGCATAAAAAAAATGTTCACATATAGAGGGCAGCACTGAATGAGAATAGCTAATCTTGTGAGATGAGGTAAGTATCTATCAGAAATACATTTGCAGTATAGGAAAATTATAATTCTTAAGGTATCACACATTTGTCTGAGGTCTTCAACTGTCATCAAAATATGTTGGAATTCTCAAAATAGCTGTAGAGCTTTACCCACACTTTTTAAGTTGCAGTTTGAAATTACGTCAAAGATATCACAAAAATGGTATTAAGTTTCATTATACTACAAAAAAAATAAAAACAACCTGATAGAAATACTATTGAAGTCAGATACCCAAAACCCAGTGTGATATAACACAGTTATCTTGTTATGAGACTATTATCTTTGTCCAGAAAACCTGTAATTTTGAAATTTAACTCACATACAGTACTCTTTATTATGTGATCGTTTTTATAAGATCATTTTATTTGAAATTATCTAAGTAAAAAAAAATTAATAGTATTTAATTTATACCCAGACTTTCAGCCAAAACTGAAATATGAATCTG